GGTTTAGGGTTTAGGGTAGTTGAAGGAGTACACTTAGAATTTGGGGTTTAGGGTTAAGGGTATCTGAACTAGTATACTTTACACTTTTGGGGATGACATGACCACTTACCTTGTAGAGGTGATTGTTGGGGCTTATGAACCCGGCAACGAAGGATGTATCATAATTGTTACAAACAGTCTATACCGGTATCATAAGGGATTGGGGGTTCAGGATATACGGGCTTCTGGGAGTTTGCATTCTTTACCAGGACTTTGTGTTTGGGTTTAAGAATTTAGGGTTGTGTAGGTGTTGTTTCATGGAAGGAGGATTTCAGGCCAACTGACTGTGGCTTTTGATTTGAGGGGTCTTGGCTTGTCGGGATCGGGGTCGCAGGGTGTTGGGGTTAAGGGTTTTCGGTGTCGGTTGTAGATTCGGTTGTAGATTCTCTGATTCTCTGGAGAGCTGAGCTTATGGTGTTTGGTTTGGGGGCACACGGGCAGGGGGGGCTCTTTGCCTTGAATTCAGTATTTCTAACGTGTGTCATCCCACGTTTCGACTGCACCAAGCTTTTGATAAGTTCCAATCCCAGTTTCCAGATCGGAGTGCCAGAAGTCTGGTTCGACCCTAAACCCTAAACTCTAAACCCTAAACAGGAACCTTGTTGAAAGGATCATCGAACTGACTAAGGCGGTGTTGAGCGCGGTTGTATGGGTCACCCGTCTGACGGTGCTTGTAAAGCATCACTGGTTCAACCTCCTTTACTGGGTCCCCTGATCCGTGAAGCAAACCTAGCCCTAAAGCCTCAAGGGTTTAGGGTTTCGGAGAATTCCAGCGGTTTCGGATCACGGAAAAACTCCGGCTCCCGCACGCCTGTGCAGGCATGCAACAGACATGCGATGAATAAGCCACTGTCCTGCCGCTCGTTTGACATTGGCTTTTATGTGTATACACCCTGAAACCAGGACCCCCAAAAACCCTTGAATCCAAGACCCTAAGCCCAAAGCCCTGAGTTGCTTAGATTAGGCTTCAGTTGAGCCCTCGAGAAGCATGGTATGCCAGGATTTCAGGTGGTTCAGAAGTTGTTGGGGTTTAGAGTTTAGGGTTCAGAAGTTGGTTGGGATTCGGGAAGTTGGCTTTGAGGGTTCTCCTGGGCTCGAGATCATGAATTCCTGAAGCCCCACACCCTGAACCCAAAACCGATAAACTTGAGGGAAGCTGTGAAAGCCCTGCGACTCTGAAGCCCAAACCCCCAAACCCTAAACGCGGAAATTCTAACCTGCAAACCCCGAAACCGTAACCCAACCCCTAACCCCGAAGACCACTTAAAGACCCTAAACCCTAAACCCTACTGAACCCGGAAGCCTTAAACCCTTAGATCGGACGCCCGAGGCTCCTACAAGTGTAGGACGGAGCTGGAGCAGCGAATTTGGGGCCCGAGCCCGAGTGCTGTGCTTGAAGGATTGTGGGCTTCAAGGGCTTAGGGGTTTAGGGTTCAGGGGTTAGGGTTTTGAGGGT